CTTTGCTCATGCTAAGGAGTGCTCATGGTGCCCGTGTCTTTCTCTATCCAGTGGTAGAAGCAAAACAACTTCAAGGGTTCGAAGTTCTCTCCGTTTTTCATCCAAATGATGACGTCATCAATTCAGTCGTGATTTCACGTAAGATTGCAGATCCTTGTAACAATGATCATGGTGATAATCATCATCATCACCATGAGTTGGGGATCGAGTCTGTCATGCCATTGAGTTGCAAGTATTGTGAGTTCCAGGCTTTCAACAATCCTCTTGGCCAGATCAAAATGATTGATTATTAGATTTCATTCTACGGTAAAGAGGATTGGTATTCATATAAACTTATCGTATGTGCTTGCTTGAAAGTGTGGGAATGGATTTGATTGTTTCAGTTTTCTCTTATCTTACTGAAATTTCCGGAAATAAAGAACTCTATATTATGTTTTACATCGATCAGCCTTATTTACAAACTGTTGATTCAAAAACTCATTTACTTTTTCACTAAATTATAGTTCCTCCTCTAATATCCTCTGTAACATAAGAAAGAAGGTCTTACACTACCACGGAATTCCAAGAAATATTTACACTCTTGGAACGTGTCATCTGGCAAGAGAGGAAATTATGCTTAAATCTAAGTTCTGAGTATGTTCAAAGAAATATTTACAGTACCACGGAATTCAAAGAGATATGAACACACAAGAAAAAGAACTTCAACACTAGTAGTGATTGTAACTTACTTTGTTCTGTTCATCAATTATGCTTAAATCTAAGTTCTTATGATGCTAAAATGATCATAAAGCTGCAAGTAAAACCAAAGAAATATCTATTTGTGTAGACGAATTAATGACAATCATTAGGACTATGAAATATATTGACTGTTAGCGCAACCACATTATGAGCTTTTTTCAAGAGCTTATTGCGTCAAATAACCATTTAAATGTCAAAAAAACGTATTGTGGGATCTTATTAATTAGTACAAATTGTGAATAGACAGCTTGGACCCATTCATATACATCCCTACAGGTATGTAACTTAATGGGAAAACCACACACTCTGACCACACCTATGAAAATGAATTTAGCATTAAAAGACATATCTTAACGCAGGTTTATAGAAGTATCGAAACACATAAGGTGGATATTTGGAACCTATATTTTTAGAAATTCTATACATCCACATAGGGAGAAAACATTAGCACCAGTAGGGGCGGAGCCAAATTTTTGGAATAAGGGGGGTTTACATTGTAATAACTTATCAAAATATATTTATAACTAAATAGCGTAATAGGGTTAGTAAACTTGAACGAGAAATATTGGCTTTTCGATATTACTAATCCGGTTAAGTTGTAGGCGTGTATTGTGAACATATTTCTCTATAATTATCACTAACAGGATGCAATTGTGGTTATGAACATTTTATTTTAGTACGGAAAAAAAAACAACAATTCTTTGTTTCTTACAATTTACCTTATATTTGTAATAAACTAAATTACTAGTTACAATAATGTTACTAATTGTAAATTAGAAAAAAGTTAGAATATATAAAAAAGTATAAATAACTTTGACTTGGAGATTGGAGTTCAGAAGTAGCACTAAGTCTCCAAAATAATTAACTGAGGATTGTGATTTAGGGTAAATAATGATTTAAATTGATGGGAGGGGCCATGGGGTTTAATTATCAATTTGATAGGGGTCTTTTCATTTAGAATTAGACTTTACTTCGGTTAGAAAAGTTGGGGGAGGCACAGCATCCAGCTGCCCCCCCCCCTCCCCCTCTCGGGTACTATCTCCGCTGCTAAGCAACATGGGGATTACTAGAGGGAGAAACCTTCAAATGTGGAAACTATCAACGGTCATGAATCCTCTCAAGAAAATTTGAAGGAAGATTCTCCTTCGGAGTTGCTTCGTTACAATGTTCCTAAATCCCAATACCTCACTAATACTTTGCATATTGCTTCAATATTTCACTAGTACTCCTTTAATTGCCTCTACAAAATTAAGTTTTAAAACATTTCCAACCTTGATTTAACAAAAATGCATCGAACAATGTGTAGGAATCCGTCCATTTTATCTATATCTTTCTTTTATTTAGGATATCTTGTTTAGCTTTAGTGATTATCCCTTCCTATTTTATCTCGTCTCTTCTATTTATATTCTTGACGTGTTTTCAATCAATCAAATAAGAAGTTTTGAGATCTTAATTGTTTCACTACGAGACTGCCTCCCTCCATAGACCACATTCGACCCGAAGCTACTCACGACAGCTCAACGGTACACCCTTTGTCTGACTTTGTCTCTTATGAAAAGCTTTTTCAATCTCACAAATATTATCTAGTTGCCATCACTGAATATGATGAGCCAAGAAACTATTACCCGGTCGCTGGTCGCTAAAGATGTTCGGTGGAAAGAAGCCATGCAAAATGAAATCAATGCTCTGGAACGAAACAGGACGTGGATTTGCCTCCCGGAAAATGAGCGATTGATTCAAAATGGGTTTACAAAATCAAGTTCAAGCCAACATGAGAAGTGGATCGTTACAAGGCCCGTCTTTTTGCAAAGGGTTTACACAGATGGAAGGGTCGACTTCCACGAGACTTTTTCTCATGTCACTAAGTTGCTCACTGTTCGCACCTCGTTGGCCGTGGCAGTTAAGAAGAATTGGTCCATCTATCAATTGGATGTAAATAACACCTTTCTTCATGGCTATTTACCAGAGGAAGTTTACATGAAGATCCCTCAAGGCTTTGCTAGAAACATAGAAACTCGGGTTTGTCGTCTACATAAATCTTTTTATGGTCTCCGTCAAGCATCTCAAAACGAGTATCAAAAGTTCACTTATGCCTTATTGACAATCCAAGGCTGATCATTCGCTCGTCGTCTACAAAACAGACGCCTCCTTTATCGATGTTCTTGTTTACGTTGATGATGCCATTCTAATGGGGAATGACGATGCTAAATTAAATAATTCAAACTCCATCTAGTCAAAGAAAGTACACCCTAGATATCTTGAAAGACAGTGGTCAATAAGGTTGTCGACCAAGTTTTTCCCATGGAGCAAAATTTATGACTCGATCTAGAAACTAATAGACCTCCTGTTGATAACAGTCAATATCATTGACTGATTCGTCAACTCTTCTATTCGTCAACTCTTCTATTTACAAGTAACCAGATCGGACATCTCTTATGTAGTGAATTTGCTCAGCCAATTTGTCTCCGATCCTCGAAAAAACACTTGGATGCTGCCATGCGTGTCGTTTGTTACTTAAAAGCCACCCAAGGTCAAGGTATTCTTCTTCCAAGAACGGGAGGTCTTGGGCTCACTGCCTTCTGTGATGCAGATTGGTTCGGGTGTCGGACGAACAAAAAAACAATGAGTTGTTTCATGTTCTTTTGTTGAAGCTGAATACAGAGTAAATTAATGGATACCACCGTAAGCAAGATTCTTTGGAAGCGTTGACAATTGAATGAACTTAACGTGATTCAAGATGGTCCTATCCAACTTTTCTGTGATAATCAAGTTGCTATGCAAATCACTAATAATGCAGTCTTACATCAACATACCAAACATGTTGAAATGGATTGTTATTTTGTTCGAGAGCGAGTTGAGTCTAAAGAAATCGTTACATAATACATCAACACTACAAATTAAGTGGTTGACATTTTAACAAAAGCTCTCAGTGCCGAGCGTCTACGTTCTGCCGAGCATCTACGTTCTTTTTGGGGCAAACTGGGCATTCGTACTCTCCATGCTCCAGCTTGAGGGAGTGAAGGAATCCGTCCATTTTATCTATATCTTTCTTTTATTTAGGATATCTTGTTTAGCTTTAGTGATTATCCCTTCCTATTTTATCTCGTCTCTTGTATTTATATTCTGGACTTGTTTTCAATCAATCAATTAAGAAGTTTTGATATCTATTACACTGATATTTGAAAACATAAGACCAATAATATTGTTGAACTATCTAGTGACAATATATTGTTACTTTTCTTCTAAAATACCATCAGATAGGAACATCAGTTGCTAGAAGTCGCTTAAGTTATGTTTTTTACAGGTGCTTTTCGTTCATCTTTGGTTATCTACATAGCAATTAGTAAAGCAGTAGTGACAGAACCCGTCAGTATGTAATTAATTCATTAATTTGTAAAATACTCGTGAAGCACGTGTAGTGACATCTCGAGTCAGTAAGGCGATGGAGCAACAAATTTTGTTGCCGATGCTTGTTTCTATTAACTAGTAAGTGTCGTAGTTTGGAAAGGAGAGAGGAAATTTTAAAGATATAAAACATGTGTGAACAATTGAAATGTGAAAGCATAAAAATTTAAAAGCATCTAGTCTCACAAACTTAATAAATTTAATAATGTCATGTCATATATAGTTATATAATATGATGTAGTTATATAATAACATGGCTTGGGGTAAGCACATCCACTAATACCACTTAGTATATATTAATGTGTAGGTGTTATTTCATTTCCAAAAATTTCTTATAAATTTTTCAACTAAAAGAATATAATCTGTATATTGGTATTTTTTTTTTAGGTCGTAAAAAAAGCATAAAAAGAAAAAGTGAAGAAAAAGTTTAATATATATCTTTATATTATGGTAATAAAAAAAAACAATTACAACTGAACTCAAATAGTAAGGTAATTCGTATTCAAAACACATGAGTCATTCCAAACCAGTTGAAAACTTATCATAACATACCCGAATGTAAACTACGCTTTACAGTCCTCGGCTGATAAATAAAATAAATAAATAAATAAAAAAAAACTCTATGTTTTTAGGGGTCTACTTATAAACGTATAATATTTGGTGTTGCTGTCAAATAATAAACAGAGCAAGGATCGTCCCTCTTCACAAATTTTATGTGGGGCCTGAAGATGGCTATAAATAACACATATCCTTAATTTTAGAATTACATACAGACACAATTGGTTCTTTGTTTCTGACATAAAAAGAGTTTATCTTAAAAGCTTTTCCAAGAAATATCCGATTGTTTAGTGTCAGACATGGAATCACTCCAGAAAGAGATCGTTTTGGTACAGAAAGTGTGTGAGATTTATCATAAAATTTCAAAGCTTGACAATCTGAAACCCTCCAAAGATGTTGATAGCCTCTTCACTGAGCTGGTCCGCACATGCATCCCACCCTCTTCTATAAACATATCCACTCTCCCGGCCAATATTCAAGAAATAAGGTCAAAGCTCATAAGACTTTGTGGTGAGGCTGAAGGCCATCTTGAAGCCCACTTCTCCACCATTTTAGGCTCTTTCCCAAATCCACTTGACCATCTAAAAGAATTCCCTTACTACTCCAATTACCTGAAGCTTAGCCGTCTTGAGTTTGACATTCTTACTGAACACTATTCTGCATTTGGAGAAGCCCCTAAGCGTCTTGCATTTGTTGGGTCTGGCCCCTTGCCTCTCACATCTATTGTATTAGCCTCTTATCATCTCAAGGACACCATTTTTCACAACTATGACATAGACTCTTCCGCAAATTCGATGGCCTCTCATCTTGTTTCGTCTGATTCTGATTTGTCCCAAAGAATGGTATTCCACACTGCCAATATAATGGATGTGACAGATGAGTTGAAGGGATATGATGTTATTTTCTTGGCTGCACTTGTAGGGGTGGATATTGATGAGAAGGTTAAGGTCATTGATCATTTGGCAAAGTACATGGCCCCAGATGCTTTGCTCATGCTGAGGAGTGCTCATGGTGCCCGTGTCTTTCTCTATCCAGTGGTAGAAGCACAACAACTTCAAGGGTTCGAAGTTCTCTCCGTTTTTCATCCAAATGATGACGTCATCAATTCAGTCGTGATTTCACGTAAGATTGCAGATCCTGTTAACGATGATCATGGTGATAATCATCATCATCACCATCAGTTGGGGATCGAGTCCGTCATGCCATTGAGTTGCAAGTATTGTGAGTTCCAAGCTTTCAACAATCCTCTTGGCCAGATGAAAATGATTGATAATTAGATCTCATTTTACGTTAAATAGGATTGGTATTCTTATAAACTTATCGTATGTGCTTGCTTGAAAGTGTGGGAACGGATTTGTTTGTCTCACTTTTCTCTTATCTTACTGAAATTTTCAGAAATAAAGAACCCTATATTATGTTTTACATCATCCGCCTATTTACAAACTGTTGTTACAAAAACTTATTTCCCATTCGTTTTCCTGTTCACTAAACTATAGTTCCACTTCTTATATCCTTTATAACTTTGGAAAGAAGGATTTACACTACTACGGAATTCAAAAAAATATTTACACTGTTGGAACGTGTCATCTCACAATATTAATTGGTATACGCAAGAGAGAAAGGACTGAATGTACAAAAGAATATGAATACACAAGAAAAGAATTCAACACTAGCAGTATGTTCTATGTATATATATGTGTTCTTGGTGATGACTGGTTTCAAAAGCCATGATGGTTGAGTCTCTATGTATACATATGTGTAATTTGATGTAAAAATTGTTCTTGTTGTTGATAATAAGAGTCTTTCTTTTTAGAATACAAGAACCATCTTCTTTTCTCTTTCTTCCTGTGTGTACATAAACATTTTGTTGTTGTTGTTCTGGTTTGTGTCCAACGTAGTGTATCAGAGGAACGTTCTAGATTGAAGGATTGTGCAGAAAACAAGGATCAAAGGGGTAGAGCGAGAAAAATAAGAAGAAGGAAGATTGGAACACAAGTGTTTCATATGGGAGAAGGTAAATTCCATCCAATCTACATTAAAATCTGTTTTAGTATTTCTTGAGTAAGTTTTAGGTTGTTCTTGCCAATTCACGAGTGGATATAATCAAAGAAGGAAACACGGATGGAAAACATAAACACTTGTATGGAATGAAAAAGTCCCTTCTCAGGAGGTTTTGACATTACTACGTGGGATAGAGCATAATGGAAAGGACTATCAAAAGAACAAAAAGATAAGAGAAGACAAAAGATGAAATGATGTAATGTTGCGATTGTGATTAATAATTAAAATCTTGTTTTGTCTTCAATGTTTCTCCAACAGTTTCTCCTGTTCTGTCTTTTGTCTTCAATGTTTCTCCAACAGTGGTGTGTGTATGATTAAAGACCCAGAAGGAAAATACTTTGGGCAATGATCTATTGATCTCCAACAAAGTGGAGATAGATGATGGCTTGTTTGTGATTAAAACCTTGCTGCTGAACACAACCCACAACCACCACCTTCCACCTTCGGCGACCTTCTCTTATAGTCGTCGGAGGTGTCTTCATTATGTTCCATATTTTTCCTTTTCTTCTCTTTGCCGCCTAAATAATAAAACAACCACCGGCACCGGTGTTGGTCACGAGTCTTCAGGCCAATGATGGAATGATGTCAAGATCAGCGTGGTATTGTGAGCTTATCGTTCTAATGGTTAGAAGGTGTCATGATGTATCGTGACCCGGTGGCTATAACATTCATACGGGTGGGACCCAGTACTCATTTAATTGAGACTCTTAGGTCTTAGATCGTTATTCTTTGGCATCGTTGAGTGTTAGTGTATTTTTGGGAGTCAGGAGACTCAGTGACCAGCTGGTTTGGATCATGTGGATAGTTAAAATTTTATTTTGGTTAATGTATTAGTTGTGCATCGGAATTCGCTTGATGGATGTTTGCAATTGTGGACCTCGATTTTCTTGTGGACTGTTTATTAGGAGTTTGGTTACCAGTGTTGGGTATTGGTTCTGAAATCTCGAGTCATGAAGTTCGTTGTAAATGCCTCGAGTTATTTGTTTAGACCTTATTGGATGTTGATAATGTTGGTTATGTGATTAAAGCCTTCGAATTGTGCTTTAAAGAAAAAAGGGTAAAATGGGAAAAGTAATATTTCGGGCTTCTTACATGGATTATGGTTTTAGTTTGACATGTATTAAGTCAAAAGTAATTAGACAAGTTTGTGGGAATCGCCAATACTTTTCCATGCATATAAAGATCGCCGAAAACAGAGTAGAAACGAAGAAGTTATGATTGTTTGAAGTTTGAATGAAATTGGGTGAAAAACCGTTCTCATGAGGTGAGAAGTATATTCTCACGATGTTAGGAGCCTGTTCTCACGAGGTGAGAAGTAGATTGTCACAAGATGAGAACTGTGCAGCCCAAGCCCATGAATTTTTAGGGTTTTCAAGGTACTTAAAGATAATGATTCATGTTTTAGAGTATTTTTTTCTTAGCCTCCCTCACTCTCCAACCTCAAGAAACCCTAATCATAACCCTCTTGGTGATTCTTACCCAAATTTGGTGCATTTGTTAGCTTGAAGAAGAAGAGAAGAATGTAAAGAAGGTGTTTTATTGGTAGAGCTTGGAAGGGAAGATCATCATCATCTTATATTCTTGATGGACCTTTGTAAGTGTCAAAGGCTCAAACTTTATTGCCCTATGTTGCTAGATCTAAGCTTTTATTCCACTTTCTCCATGTTTAGGAAATATTGAATGGAAGGGATCCATAAAGTTAGCAACTTTATGGATTCTAAGGGTCCCTTGAGTATTATAAGGTTTAGATCTGGAAGTTGATTGAGTTTTGAATCCTTACATGTAAACTTTGGTGATTTTTCTTCATTTTGACCCAATTTGAGATCTAGACATGTTTTGGTCTTACATGTCCATAAAGCATTGATTTTTAAGTTAATTTTAGAGTTATAAGACCTTTTGTAAAGTTGGAATGCATGGATGAAAAGCTTAGGGTTGAATACGTTAAGATGTCCATTTTGCATTAGTCACGACATGACCATATAGTGGTCACGACATGACGAGAGAATCCCCTGTCTATCTTGGGTTGACTATGTCACATCATGAGGGGTCACGACGTGACAGTGGTTTGGATCGTTTTTGGAGTAGAACTGAGTTGAGTTGACTCGTGGCTAAGTTAAGGACCGAGTGGAATCTGTTCTCATGACGTGATCATAAGTTGGTCACGACGTTAGGGTCAGCTGATGGAAGGGTTGGTCGTTGACTTTTTGACCTGTTTCAATTTTGGTCAAACTTGGGTAGAATTGAGTATTTGAATAAGGATTGGTCTCAATTTTGATTTTAGGGAGCTTGGGTTGGCTGTGTTGTTGCTGAGGTAGATGTTGAGCTTCTGTTGAGGAGTTCAGGTGAGTCTTCTCACTATACTTGTGGGTCGAAGGCACCAATGTCAGCCCACTGGATTGTGTTATGTAGAATGTTAGTTGTCTTTGTGACTCTTGCATGATTTATTGGGTTGAAATATGCCCCAGGGTTGGGCCCAATATTATATGTTTTGGTTGAAATATATCCTAGGGATGGGCCTACCATTGTATGTTTGGGTTGAAATATACCTAGGGTTGGGCCCAATATTGTATGATTTGGTTGAAATATACCTCAGGGTTGGGCCCACTGTTGTGTATTGGGTTAAAATATACCCCAAGGTTGGGGCCACTGATGTGTATTAGGTTGAAACATACCCCAGGGTTGGGCCCACTGATTTGTATGGTATGTGGTATTTTGGGGAACTCACTAAGCTTTGTGCTTACGGTTTATGTTTAAAATGTTTTTCAGGTACATCTAGTTTCAAAGGGAAGAGCCCGGCTTGATTGCACATCATCCCCTGGAGATTTATTTCGTATTGATTGTTATGATTTAACTTCGATGTTTGAGAATACTTTTACTCTGGTTGTCTTTTAGGATAATGAATGAATGGTTTTAACTTATTTAAAATGAAAAGTTTACTCGGTATTTTTGGGACGTTACAAGAATAATACAATCTAATTGCATTTATATGCGTGAAGGAAGAAAAGGAAAAAAGGGAAGGAGACTGTGAAGAAGAACAAAATTTTGGCCCACTTAGGCCCACTGGGTATCGTGGAAACAAATATCGGCGGGATAAAGTTGTGAAAATAAAAGGACACCATATATCAAGGGAGCAGGCAAGAGATTTTATCTATGTTAGCACAAAACGCACTCCCTTAGGGAATACAATGTAGTGCCTGAGAGTGAGCAATTAGCGGATGAGTTTGTAAGTGTACTTTTTTTCTTCATCTCCATATAACATTTATTTAATAAGTAAGTGTTAATACAATCCTATTGTTTGCATTCATAGATATCAAAAGATAAACTTGGAGTTAATTTGATGACAGAGCTTTTAGGACAAGAGCACCATGGTCGCACGAGGGCGGTGGGTTACACTGTCACTCTAAAAGAATCAAGGATTAACCCAAGAAAGAGGAAACAACACGAGTTACCAGATTTGGAAGATTGGCGACGATGCTAGATAAGAGTTTGTTTCATAAGTTATATGAGAAATTATATGATAAGCATATGACTAATATGGTGTCTGATATGATGGCTAAGGTGGTAGATATTGTCTGGGACATGATCGACTCTATGGTAGCTACTAGGGTGAATCATGGCATGATGCAACATGATGATGCTCGTAGGCACGAGGCGATAAAAGTTAGTAGCCCGAACTTGAAGAAACCTAGTATTGGATCTACAACGATGGATGCATTAGATAATATAAAGGTATACATTGTTTCTTTCTATAGAATACAAATAAACACACATAAAAAACTAAGTACATGTTATATATATATATATATATATATATATATATATATGTGTGTGTGTGTGTGTGTGTGTGTGTGTTTGTAGGTTCCCATTGACTGTGAGTTATTGATACCATCAGATATAGTTGCCGCCGAAGGGAAAGTATACCCATCAGAGAATGGGATGTTACATGGGATACTTCTCAAAGAACTTCGTGTGAAAGTATCCGTACTAAAGATTTATGATGGTTATAAATTGTTCCCTCTTCCTGACTAAGAAACATATAATGTGGGGAATGCACTTTATGGTTTTACACAATCGCCACGATATTTAATTTCTCTAATTAAGGTAAAATGAAAATTTCCTTTTTTTAATATTATAGTCATATGTAATGAAATCAACATGTAACCATATGTAAACTTCTCAGTCCACTCCAACTGTGCAAAAAGATCAAGACCTCCCC